CCCTCGTACTCACCATCGCATCCTTGTACTCACACTCGTACTCACCCTCGTATCGCACCCTCAGTCGTAGTCGCACGCTCACTCGAAACCCATCCCGCGACCTTCTCCCTCGCCACTCTGTCTGCACTCCTTCCCTCTCACCTCCACCGTGGACAAAGACAGACTGCCGGCGCTGTCCTCCCTGCTCACGGACAGCACGCGCTCCCCACGCGACCGCGAGCAGCGCGATCCCGGAGAGAACATACGCGCCGGCGGCAGCGGTGCTGCGGCGGATGATTGGCTCGACAGCCGCGAGCGACGTTCTCCTGCGGCGGCTGCTGCTGCTGAGCAGCGAATCGCACTGCGCTAGCACTGTCTGCGCTTGTGAACCTGTCGGAGGACGAGGAGCCGGCGGCCCTGACGCACGCGGACGCGGTGCGGCTCGCAGCGCAGGTGGTCCTGGACGCGGACGTCGTCGCGCTGCACGCGGCGCTGCTGTCCAACCTGACGCGCTTCGCGCCGGGCGTGGACGAAGCGGAGGGCGCGGACGGGTTTCGGGAGAGGGGCACGCTACTCGTGCTCGTGGAGAGGGTACCGAGTATTCCGAATGTGCTGCGGCTGTCGAATGCGTGCGCGAGCCAGGAGGGGAGGGACGTCCTGTTGGTCGAGGGAAGGCAGGCGGAGAGACAGCTGTTGACGAGGTTGCTGAGATTGCTGGAGGCGGGGGAGGCAGAGAAGAGGCTGGCGAGGGCGAGCTGGGTGCGGAACTGCGCGATGGCGGACGAGTGCCATGATGTGTTGGTGGGGGTACGGCGGCGGTCGCAATGTGCTTGGGGAGGTCAAAGGAGGTGGGACGGGAGGAGATGGCGGAGATTCGCGCCTGGTTGGTCGAGGAAGTGTTGTTGTTGTGTAAGAGCCGGGCGGGGAAGGACGCGCTCAGGGATGGCGGGGCCGTCGACGTTCTGGAGGGATGGAAGGGGGAAGAGCATCAGGGATGGCGGGGCCGTCGACGTTCTGGAGGGATGGAAGGGGGAAGAGCATGCACGCCGTAGTGAGCATTCTGGATCGGCGGGAGACACTGGTAATCTCGAGGCAAATACCGCATCGATGCACTTTTTGGTGGGAAGCCGTTTCGGTCGACCAATAGAACGTGCACAACTGGATTGTCAAGGGTAATCAAACAGAGACTATCCGAACCAAATTCTTGATATTTGGTTCCGATTTTTAGATCGACACCAAAAATTTGATGATTTGGTTGCACCGGTGGGGATTTCAATCGACATCAAATCATCAAATTTTGGTTGTTTGGGTATTTGATTCTACCGGTAGGGATGCTCTGAGCAAAAGGGGAGGTGCCGCTGACCAACGACATGAGGGAGGAATGACTCTCTGCAAAGAAAAAACCAGCCTGTTAAGACTCTTGACAGGCTGGTTTTTGGTTTGCCTTTGTGGTTCCGTGAACTCCGATACCCCCCGATCCCCGAGGGAGCGGGTGGCCGTCGGAGACTTTATTGCGTTGCGACTACGGTATGCCCTATCGGCTATGTGTTATTACTGTGGGGTGCCGTACTGTCGTCTGGATGTAACCACAGCCTTGCCCGGTTTTGCCAGGAATACTTTTAAATTCTAAACAAATACCGTATGCTTCTTAAGCCCTTGCTTTTCTTAAACTCAAAAATTAAAACGTAGGAGCCACTCATAGCACGCCAAATCACCTCTTTGGGCAAAGCAAAGCAAACTGCAGAAAAACAGGGCATGTTAAGACACCCCTCAGTGTGAAAGTTTCTATCATAATGTCTCTCATATGGCGATATACCTCACCACGCGAATGGGTCACGCGGTGAGGAAAGAACTTGCCTTGTTTAGGGTTACAGTAAATTAGTATATAACGGACAGTCCCATGCGACTAGCGCGTGGGCCTGCTCGGAGGCAGATTTGAACAGACGTGTCTACGCGGAATCCTTCACGAACAGCGCTCCGATTGCCCGGAGGTTCGGTTGGGTTTGAAGAGCCGGTCGTAGGCTCTTCTAGACATCAATAAACTGTTTAAACTATTTCCTTTAATTTTTTCTGGGACAATTCCCACATTGATCAATCGCGTTTTTCCCTTACGTTTTTTTCTCGGCCATTCCATTGGCCAGGCGGCGATCCGCCACCGTTCCGTCAGAGCACCTCGCGTATCTCCCCCCCCCAGCTCGTGTGTTCCTCGCCGCTCGCTGTCTGCCCTTTCGCCGCTCGCTCGCTACTGCTTTTGCTACCGCTCGCCCGCCGCTGCCAGCGCCGCCGCTCGCTCGCCACTGCGCTCGCCGCTGCTCGCTTGGTGCTGCCTTTGTCGCTACTCGCTCGGTGCTGCCTTTGTCGCTGCTCGCTCGACGCTGCCTCACCGCTGCGCTCCGCTGCTCCCCTGCTGTTCCGGCTGCGCCGCCGCTGCGCCCCCTCCCCTGCGCCGCGCCCGCCACTCGGGCTATTGGCTGGCCTACGGCGCCGCTGCCTCGTCACCGCGCCGCCGCCCGCCCCTTCTCGCCGTAGCCCTGCCGCTGCGCCGCCGCCGCCCGCCGCTGTCTGGCCTGCACCGCCGCTGCACCCCGCCACCCCCTGCTGTCCGGGCCGCGCCGCCGCCGCGCCGCCGCAAATTGAGCTGTGCAGCCTGAGCCGCCGCTGCTACTGCCCGCCGCGCCGGTCGCTCTCGCTGCTGTTTGGTCCGCGCCGCCGCTGCCCCGCCGCCGCGACGCGCCCGCCGCTCCGGCTGGTGCCTGGCCTACGCCGCCGCTGCCTCGTTGCCGCGCCGCCACCTGCCGCTCCCGCTTCTGTCAAGTCTGCGCCGCCGCTGGCCCCACTGCTGCGCCGTCGCCCGCCGCTCTTGCTGCTGTCCGGGCCACGCTGCCCACACTTCCCCCGAAGTCGCGCCGGTGCCTGCTGCCGCGCTGTCTCTCGTCAGCGCTTCGTTCTGCCAGCCGCCGCATTGCCGACCTACAGCCGCTCCGGTCTGTACTACCTGGCCGCCTGCTTCCTCCGCCGACAGCTCGTCACCACTCTGCACTGCGCCTGGTATCACATTGCAGCAGAACAGCCGACGCCAAACTCACTGCAGCTAGCTGCCGCTCGCTGTCGCCCGCCTCTACTGTCCTGAGGTCGGTGAGCCTGCACGCTCTGTTTTTTTCGTGCGCATGGCATCGTTGGTTTGGGAGTAACGATAGGGTCTCGGTTATGGTTGGAAGGGACTGAAGGCCTGGTCGTTGAGGTGTGTGGAGGCTAGGGACGTGGTACTGCCCTTACTTTGCTCGAGAGCGGTTGACCCGGAATTAATACCCGGTGACGCGACGCAGGCAACTCGAACCGGCAGTGTGAACCTCTCCGGCAGGGAACCCCACCGGTCCTTTTTAGGGCGGATAACGGTGTCGACCCTCTGTGTTCTGGTGTTTCCGGTCGTGGGAATCCTCTGGGGTGTTGTGCACTGAGTAGGTTGGGGTGGTATCGCTGAACTGGCCGTCGCGCAAGCGTCCCGCAAGAAACTAGACACCCTTTGAGGCCTGTGTACTGGCTGGTGTGGACGTTTCGTACGGATCATCGCGCCCACTCTGGTAACGCAAGAGTGGGTAGACTGCAGAAGTCGTTACCTGACCCGGACAGGCTTCGGGCGCCAAAGGTCGGACCTTTTCTACCTGCAAGAGCTGCAGGCGCCGAGGGTCGGACCCTGACAAGGTCAACCGATCATAGATCGACTCAGTGCTGATTTTTTGCCCTTGTTCTTAAAGGAACTATTAACTAAATCCCGATTAGTTACCCTGCGATCCGCAACATGCCCCCGCTCCCCTCCCACGAGGGAGCAGGGCCTTCTGAGAGCGGACAGCATTCCGACTCGTCACCACCCGAACCCCTGGTTACATTCATGAAAGGC